TATTTAGGCCCTCCTAAACCCTAAACCCGAAACCCTAAACCCCTAAACCCCTAAACCCTAAACCCTAAACCCTAAACCCTAAACCCTAAACCCCTAAACCCCTAAACCCTAAACCCCAAGCCCTAAACCTCTAAACCCTGAACCAAGGCTTCGGAGATGAAGGGTTGAAGGTTTCGGATCGTAAGGGTTCAGGGCATGGGCATACCAGGACCCCCCCATATACCCTTCAGAGGAGCCCTTATGGTCTTGCATAGTGGGTATTTAGGGCATGTTAGAGTGTAGTTGGGGGGGGTCTAAGTGTGGGTTTTGGGGTTTGCAATCTAGGTTTTGCGGCTTGCGGCATGTATTCGGAACCTGCGCGGCTAAGTACATTCGAGCACCTTCATATACTTTGAACTACCATAACCTACTTTTTTTGTAGGTCCTTATTATAGACCCCAATATAGAATTTATAGGGACCCTACAAAAACGTAGGTTCTGGTAGTTTAAGGTCGGGTTTAGGTTTAGTACCAGATTCGCGAATCTATCTGCCTGTCGGTCTGTCGGTCAGTCGGCCTCTTGGTCGGTCGGACTGTCGGTCTGTCGGTCGGTCTGTCAGGTTTAGGGTTTAGGGTTTAGGGTTTAGGTTTTAGGGTTTGGTTCTGTTTGTGCCTGTCATTATGTCTACAGCAATCTGCAGGTCCGAATGTGCGTCTGACGTCGTGTTCACCCTACAAAAGTCTCTTCACCTGTTTCTGGTTTGGGTGCAGAAACATAATGGAGCTGACAGCCGAAACCTTATTGCGCTATGATACAGTATTCAGCAAACTATTGCATGCACCCCGTCTGATAAATATGTCGGAGCTTTGATCTGGATCTTTCTGATGATGTGTCTCCCTAAAGTTGAAACCCAGAAAGCTTCAACCGACACCAGACCCAGTCAGAAGCCTCAAAATCGTCACCCTAAACCCTAAACCCTCAACGCTAAACCCGTCTTCCGGGAAGGCCTTGGGTATCCACCAGTAGTCCGATCCAGCGTACTCGAAACCCAGACTGGATGCCACCGGTGCCAGCACTGATGGAATGACCCTCGGCTTTAGGGTTTAGGGTTTTAGGGTTTAGGGTTTAGGGTTTAGGGTCTGTACGCTTGGGTATATGGCGGTATAGTTATGTAGGGACTACAAGGCAATATTATTGCTGCTTGTTCTGCGCTCGATGTAAAAAAGCTTGAAATAGCTTCAGGCTTTCGGAGTGAGTGTTCTGCATGAGGGGTTGCACCCAAAGCTCTGAAACCCTATGCCCTAGACTAGGGGTTTTACCCTTATCCGAGCATCCACATAATATAGAAGCCTTGATAATTAGATAGGGTTGGGAGTATAATTTACTATGACTATATTAATATTCGTATAGTTATAGTATATTATACCCCCAACCCTATTCTAATTATATAGCTATAGTATATTATACCCCCCAACCCTATTCTAATTACTATAAAAATGTTACTAAGGCCCTACATTACCCTGAAACGCTGAACGCTGTTGGTTCTTGCTGCAAGGCTGGAGGTCGCGGCTGTCGTTTTGAGATCATATGCTGATAGTTACCCTAAACCCTAAACCCCTAAGCCCTAAGCCCTAAACCCTAAACCCCTAAAGCCCTAAAGCCCTAAACCCTAAACCCCCAAACCCCAAACCGCTAAGGTTTAGGGTTTGGAGTGTAGGCTTCTGGGGTTTGCGGCTTCGTGTCCTTCTAGTTTCCTTGCCCACGCCAGCTCGGAGCGTCCCCCAAAGGGAGGCTTTAGGGTTTAGCGGTTGAGGGGTTGAGGGGTTGAGGGGTTAGGGTTTAGGGTTTAGGGTTTAGGGTTTAGCGGTTGAGGGGTTGAGGGGTTGAGGGTTTAGGGTTTAGGGTTTAGGGTTTAGGCTCGAGGGGTTGAGGGTTCAGAGGTCGAGGGTTTAGGGGTTGAGGGTTTAGGGTTTAGGGTTTAGGGTTTAGGGGTTAGGGTTTAGGGTTTAGGGTTTAGGGTTTAGGGGTTGAGGGTTCAGGGTTAGGGTTTAGGGGCTTTGACTTTTAAGGAGTACGATCAGGGTCCTACACCCCGGCTGTACCCTGAATCGTAAACGGAAGCCAGCATCAGGAACCCCAACCAGGTAGGTGAAAAGGGGCCCTTGGGCAAAATATAGGAAATTACTCAAGCTTCGGCATTATACCCTACCTTAACCGACCATTACCTAATTTTTTGCAGGTGCTCATTATGAAGCCAAATATAGGTTTATACCACCGAAAAGAAGGCTTTGGTAAATCAACGTAGTTTGCAAAAAAAAGCCCCCTGGAAGAAGCGACCCCAATCCATCTGTCCATTCTTTGTTGGACACCTCTTGATCCTTCTACGAAGGTTTAGGGCTTCTACTACCAGGATTCACCAGGACCCCCAAGTACCCTTTAATACAGCCCTTATGGTATCTTAATCAAGGAATATTAGAGGGTATTTGGGGAGTCTAAGCAGGGTTCAGGGTTTAGGGTACAGGGTTCAGGGGCTTTAAAACGGGACGTCCCAGCAAGTGGATGGAGTCTAAACCCTAAACCCTAAACCCTAAACCCTAAACCCCTAAACCCTAAACCCTAAACCGAGGAGTCGAGAGTGATCGCCTGCTTGCAGCTAGGGAGCAGCCTCGACCAAATGTCGAACTCCTGCGACTTTGTTTTCTTAGTGTTTGGGGTCTAGGGTGCACCAAACCCTAAACCCCAAACCCTAAACCCCAAACCCGAAACCCCCAAACCCCAAACCCTAAACCCTAAACCAAACCCTTGTTTGGCGTTGAGTTTCGGGTTGCAGGGCTTCTCTTCAGGAAATCCGGGGGTCGAAGCTTAGGCTTCAGGCTTTAGAGTTTTGGGGGTGGGCATGACCCAAAGACTCCAGCATCCATGTATAACCCCGCCCCCCCCTCCTCAAAAAAAAGCTATGAAGCGCAACAACGCCGGTAGACAAACCAATCCCTAAACCCTAAACCCCTAAACCCCTAATTAAGCCCTAAACCCTAAACCCTAAACCCTAAATGCCAAACAGAAAAACCCCAAACCAATCTGAACTTAACTAAACCGAACCTCAAGTCCAGCTCCATGGGCCTGCAGCGTGTCATCAATAGGGTTTAGGGTTTAGGGTTTAAGGTTTAGGGTTTAGGGTTTAGGGTTTAGGGTTTCCATGGGCCTGCAGCGTGTCATCAACAGCGCAGAGTGACAATGTTAATCGCGTGGCCTCGGATCATTTGGCTGCAAGGCAGTACCATAAGTTACCATAGCCTGCTTGTTTTTGTAGGTTCTTATAGGTTCTTATTGAAGTACCGTAAATTACCATAACCTAGTTTTTTTGTAGGTTCTTATGGTGAAGTACGATAAATTGCCATAACCTACTATTTTGTAGGTTCTTATTTAAAGGAAACTACAGGTGGGGAGTTTAGGGTATATAGGGCTTCTATAAGGCTTCCATAAGGTATATAGACCTTCTATAACACTCCTATAACAGCAACCACCCACCTGAAAATGTCCTAGACTTTGGGTGTTAGGGCTTTAAACCCTAATCCCTAAACCC